CAGTGGTCTGCATCCACCCAAACATGTTCATTTTGATTCCTAAGTGCCTCTCATTCCCATTCAATGTACCTGGTCAGATTGTGAATATACAATTTAACTTGCAATTATATTATAATTCAGCAACCCACAGGATCAGTTCTGTCCAATATTTGGCTACATAAAGCCCCGTGACTATAAGAGAAAAGATAAATTTTTTAATTTAATTTAATTTAATTTAATTTAATTTATTTATTTATTTTTACTTGCTTATATTTTATTGGGCAATTGGGGGAGACGGAAGAGTGTTGGAGAATTGGGGAAGGGGACCAGCCAAGTTGTTGTCCTTCAGTCTTAGTTGTAGAGGGCGCAGCTAGCTCAGCTCCAAGTCCAATCGTGCTGCTCAACTCAAGGTGCTGTGTTCAATTAGTTGCGGGAGGGCATAGCCACCATCCCATGCGGGCGTCGAAGCAGCAGCCTCGTTGGTAAGCATGCACACTCTATCTGCTAAGCCATCCGGTCGGCAGCTCAGCTCAAAGTGCCGAGTTCAGTCTTTAGTTGCGGGCGGGCCTAGCCCACCAGCCAAACAGGCAGCCTTGTTGTTGGGAGCACGTGCTCTCACCAGCTTAGCCATCCTGCCACCTGTTGGCAGCTCAGCGGCAGCTCAGCTTGGGCACAGCTCACTGGCCTATGTGGGAATCAAACCGGCAACCCTGTTGCTCAGAGCTCGCACTCTTAAGTATGCTCTTAACCAACTGAGCCACTCGGCTGGCCCCAAGACACATTTTTTAGAGTAGTCAAGAATAGCCCTGGTTCTCTGAGCCTGTCTTGAGCTTAGAATATAAACCCTACATATTTATTTTTTGAAAGTCTTCAGTGAAATTCTAAATAGCTAGCCCCCACCCCAAGCCCTTAGGGCCCTCATTCCCACCATAAAGGTCAAATGCAGCAACTGCTTCATCTACCAAACCCTTGTCTTCATTAGGCATTTTCTCCCAGGCAACAATACTTATTGTGATAACTCATATAACTGTTTTTCCCTTCATGAAATAAACTAGATCTATATCACCTTCAAATTCAATGCCCATCCACCGTTAAGGGTCAGTGTCCTACAGAAATAGGAACCTCACTGGGCTTCCTCTTTAACTAGTATCCTTTATCCAGTTTTCCCCAATGGTAACATCTTGCAGAACGACAGCACAATATCACAAGCAGGATATTTACATTTATATAGTCACGATACAGAACATTTCAGGGGTGGCCAATAGCTCAGTTGGTTAGAGCACAAGTTCTGAACAACAGGGTTGCCGGTTCAATTCCCACATGGGCCAGTAAGCTGCGCCAGTAAGCTGCACCTTCTATAGCTAAGGTTGTGAACAATGGCTTGACCTGGAGCTGGGCTGCCATGGGCTGCTGAGAGTGAGTGGCCGGCAGCTGGTGTGAGTGGCTGGCAGCCAGTGTGAGTGGCCGGCGACCGACTGTCTTAGCCAGTTAGAGCGCAATGATCATAATACCAACATGGGCCAGTGAGCTGCA